ACAGACAGATGTGGCTCTGTAGGAACATTCGTGGCAATACGAATCTGTACATTGAATGCAAAGAATCGTGGGCAAGCATTCTTTGCAGCGAGCACAGGTCAGTTGCTGACCTGCCCAAGTATTATTTTTTGGAAATCTTTTCCGCTGTTGTCTATTTGTTCTGGCTTTATCATACCCATCGCCTATGGCCCCCAGCGGATTTGATCTGTCTTTAATCGGGGGCAGACTCTTAATATTATTAGTCACATACTGAATTATCCGTATGGATTCTAATAAAGATGGATTGTTATTACTATCCAGGAAATTAGAAATAAAGTGTCTTATGACTTCCTGTTCGTTGGAGCTTTCGTTGGATGTGGCACTGGTCACGGCTGTCGAATAAGACTGCATACTTGAAGCGACGAATCTTGTAATATTCTATGACGACACACTATAGCGTTACTGGTCACGTCTAGAACTGTAAATAAACGAAATTCATATTAACGAAAAATTACTTTGTAACGATAATGACAATATATGATTTGTCGTGAATGTCGTAGAGGCTAAACATACAGTCAATATTATTTTAAAAAGTTGATACCAAACGCATTGAGACTCATCGATGTATATCTTTAATAATACGATATAACTTCGACTGCAGTATCATCCATTATAAAATTTATTAATTTTGTATTCACAATGCTATGCTGGAAAATTTTAATGAAAAATGATTAAAAAATCTACTTTGTACCTGGTGATATGTCAGAGTACCAAGGACAAAGTGGATTTTTAAGCAATATTCACTAAGAATTTTATGTTTTTTTATATAAATTAAACTCTTATTTAGCCAAAAAATTTACTTATTGTTAATATTTATTAGGTAAATTTAAAATGCAATAGTTTTTCATGTTACTGATGAATTTTAATAACCAAAAATATTTGCTATATTTTCTAGATGAATATTGATTTATGATTAATTATTATTTTATTTTCTTTACATTCCCGTGTGTGTGAATTCAAAAAGCTACAAGTAGTAGAAAAATATCTTTCATAATTCAAACATTTATTTCACTTACGTAAATTCCTATAACGTAAGTGATCTGAAATTTTGAATGAATAAATAGCTTATAAATAGACTGTAAAACTATTTAAATTCATACCATTTATAACTCATCTATACTAATGTATTAAAGGTGTTGAAAGTACAGGACTTAAAAATAATAATATGTAACTGGGTCTTGTTCGTGCATTATTTTAAAACTATTTGTTTACCTCGACGTTTCGGCTACGTTGCAGCAGCCGTGGTCAGGAGGGGACTGGAGAACAGGCTGGTGTCGTCTTCTGATTATAGTTGAGGCGTGAGGGTAATCCGGTAATAATATTTTTAACATCTGAAAATCTGTTAATTAATAAACAAATAGTTTTAAAATAATGCATGAACAAGAACTGGTTACATATAATTATAATGTATACAAATCGTGTGAGTTTAAAAACATTATTAAAAATAATATTTATTATTACCCAGATGTTCCTAGTTTTTATGAAATTGATAACGTTAATCAAATTCCAAAATTAAATAAATCTATAATAACTTACACAAACATGATTAAAAAATAATAGAACTAAAATAAATAACAATAATTAATATAATATATATAAACCCAATATTCCTAAAAGACTTCAGTAACTCTGATATCAATTTTCAAAATTAAGTAAAACTATAACAGCTTACACAAACATTAATTATAATTTAAAGAACTGAAACAAATAGCAATATAAGAATTATTTGCATACCCAAGAGACTCCAGCAAGATAAACTCCAACACTCACAGAAGTTAAGTACATCAACTTTTCTTTAAAAGTACAAGAATCTTGTATCTTGTGCCCCTGATGGTTGTAGCACTTGAACTGACTAAAACTCTAACTGACCTTTTACATTTTAATGCAGTTTTTGAAAAAAAGTCTAACCCAAATTTTTTGTGCGGCCTTTCCTCTCGTGGTGTTATTATTACACACTATAGTGTTAGGTAGTAATTCTAGAGCGAGATGGATATAATGTGCTCCGTATGGTAGGATTTCTTATGATTAAGCTTGGAACGTGTTGTCAGGCAGACAGTACAGAATCTATTCCGAAAGATGAAGTATATTATAGAGAAATTAATTGAAAATGCGATAAGGGAAATAAAAAAATGTTTTACTATTTTACCGAATGTCAAACACATCTTAGTTAATTAGAATGACAAAAACAGGCTTATTTAAGTTTACACGGCTACCCAAGATCGGAGTGTATATTGTTAAAGGTTCACGTATGTCCTACATACATTCGAGAGTTTTTTATTCAACCATAAATCATCTTTTAAAATAGGTTGTATAAAATAGGTTTAAGAAAATTATGGGGTTACGGAGATAACAATGGTACCACCATTGTTATCTCCGTAACCCCATAATTTTCTTTTAGTTTCTTTCTTTTAGGCTTTATTTACTCATCTTGGAATTTCAGCAGTGTATGTAATGTTGCGTATTATTATTATTATTATAGCGAATCATTAGAAATGTTACATTACCCCGAGTGACAATAGATGAATATGAATATATTTTTTCTTTTAATTACAGCAATAATAAGAGTATCTTAAAGGTCTAAATTAAATTCCTATGAGTACATTTGTTTCTTTTTTTTATACACAATTACCTACTGACTGAAAGGAATAAAATACACGACTACCAAAATCAAACTAATAAATAATAAAAAAAAACAAGTTGGCTTGGCTAAGCACAATTCTCATTGCAGTTGTCCTCCCACTCCCCTCTTGGATTACAAATGTTCAACAGAACGGTCCTCCGACTACAGTGAGAATTGTTTTGTTTTAAATAAGAATTTTAAATTTACTTAATAAACCGAAAAATGTATTATTATTATCTCTCAAACAATTGCCCTGAAATGTTAAAATAAAATAAGGACATGAACATTTACCCATAAAGTACAGCAAAAATAATATTTCTTTTATCTAAACATATTAAAGAAGATGAGATTTGGTTACCAAGTAATTTCAAAAGAAACCGTATAGGTATTTGTATTCTCACATTTGTTTTCATAAGTTCTAAAAGTATGAATGATAATCATTTAAAAACTGAGAATTTAGAAAATGAAAATGCCAAAAAGGTTTGCGTAGCAAATCATCAAACACGTATACCTATGCACATTTTACACAAGGGATTAATTTAACCTGCCTACCTATGTGAACCTTTTTATAAACAAAAGATATTATTATAACTACTGACCTTCTGAGTATTAACAAAAGAGCCCAAAGTATTAAAGGGTCTTTGATAAAATTCAAAAACTTATTATCTTTTATTTTATGAAAAGCCTGGAGTTTATGTATTAATGAAACTTAATGGTTCTTAAAATCTGTTTTGAATTTGCATATTCAATATGATTTTTATAGAGGTAGACTTTTTTAAAACTAAGCTGTTATTGGACCAGATATCGTGTCTATACAAATAAGACAAGCTCCAGCTCCAGAGGATTGCGACTTCCATTCGCATTCGAAGATTTCTCAAGCTAAGAATACATTTATTTATATGTATTTTCACTATTTGAATTACTCTTAATAAATGTGTAGTATAGTAATGTGTATGTGTTCAGAAATAACCGGCGAAGAGTTTAAATAAAAATCAAGTTTTTATCAATCAATATATATTTTCCATAAAAAGTACAAAAACAGAAATTACATTATAAAGCACCACTCAATGGATACATCAAATCCACCCATTACTTAAATCTACATACATTTATAATTATTACATATTAATATAATACGGACGAAACTATTATTATCAGACAAAATACTTGAGTCAAAGTCAGCGGTTTGACCACTGCTACATAAATGTATATCAGTTTTCAAAGCATTACGAGTGAGTTGATGCAATTATACCAACATGTACACATAAATTTAACCTCACGGAAGCACAAGCGACGGCGACGACGGCAATCAAATCCATCGCCGGCACCGCCATAGCCTCCGATGACAGTACAGCAATACTAGAACTATCAGTTACAAGTAATGTATATTTATTGTATCCATCTCCTTTTTGGCGTGTTTATTTCAGTTATTATGTGCGCTTCTCTTACGTTGTGAAAATACGAGAAAATGCATGTATACAATTTATACTATGACTAAATACAGCACCTAGATAACCTTATATGAGTAGCATAAAAAAAAAGATATTTACATCATTAAAATTGAGTTCTTTCGTGCAGAAAAACACAATCGCGCTATTCGTTACTACTAAATTCTGAGTGAATCTAAGCTGTTGAACGTACTGGACAAAAATTAAATTATATTTTAAAAAATATACTTTGGGATGGAAACCGAAATTTAAGCTAATTTGCTTTTGAAATATTATTTCTACAAACAATTAAAAATAAAAAGTGTAGAATGCCAATTACCAACGGATATCTGCGTCAATTAATTTTAAACACGTTAAATCGCTAAATGTATAATTTAAGAAAGATACTTTTGGTAAAATTAGAGAGCAATTTGATATAATAATTTAAAAACCTTTAACGTATTGACGTCTCATAACGGGTACTTTTTATTATTCTAATTATTGTACAGACTTTAATATAATACTTACTAATACAGAATCATTACTAATAATACAAATGTGTCTAATAACTGAGGTACGCTAACAATGGATTTTGAAAAAAATAATTGTCCCAAAGGCAATTAAATAGGCATTGTAGGTCGATCATGTTATCTATAAAATATTATTCAAATTAAATTTGAAAGATTTGATCCAAAAAAAAATTAACAATATACAAAAAGCAACCATATTTAACGCAAAATTATATCACATAAATCATATTGCTTATAGAATGCTATTTCTCCAGTCAGACTAAGCTCGACTGGAATCGTCAAAACTGGTACATAGTTAAAATACATACAACAATTAAATTTAATAAAAAAAAAAACATGCGGCCCTTAGCATTACTTAGTTTATTTATATGTATATAATTAACATCAACATACTTTGATGAAATGTTTGCCAACCAAAGAAGTGTCGCTAATTGGTCGCGATTCAAACAATACCACCAAATATCCCTCTGGTGTTAGAGCTACGTCACTTGGTCGGTCATTGTGGTCAAGGTCTGGACTCTTTAAATACTTAGTGGCCAGTAAACGGAGGTCAGAAGTAAACACGAGTAAACGATGCTTCTTTGAATCTGCTACGATTATATGACCTTCGTCGTCGGTCACAATGCCCGATGGACGATCTAACTCACCAAGGCCGTAATCTTCACGCCCTACACGATATAGAACTTTTGATAGTGTCGAATCTACGATTAATAAGCGATGATTCTGGAAATCAGATACTGCTGTAGTTGTGAAGCACACACTTCTCGGAATTGTCGTTAATTTCAACATTGCTGTTGGGTGAGCTCTTTGCCCTCGCTTGTAAATAATTGGATATGGTGATTCAGTGTGTCAGTCACAACGATGTTCCCTATGGTATTGACAGCTCCATCCCATGGATACCGGAACCGTCCATTTCTTTTTCCGAACGACCCGAATTCGAGGATAAAGTTTCCATACATTGAAAATATTTGTACTCTATGGTTGGCTTTATCTGCTACAATGATTCTATCAAGAACGTCAGTAGTGATGCCAGCTGGTAAATTAAATTCACCAGGGCCAGGTCCTTTGGAACCAAACATAGTTCGAAAGTCCCCACCGTGACTGAAAATTTGAATGCGGTCTATACAAAATCCCCACGGTCTAGAAACTTGGCCTTCACCTCGACCATCAGGACCAAATGAAAATATAGGCTCTCCAGGGACTGAACTTCTGTTTGGCTTTAACGATACTGACATCCAGTAAGCTGGAATGGCTCGTCCAATACCACATACAGTAGTAGTATTTGATTGGGTTATCAAAGAAGATGTATAGATGTGATTATTTGTAGAAGTCATGCTCAAAGAATAATCTTGTGGCATTCTCATATTGCTTGTACTAGCAACATAATTTGAAGTAGGATACAGCTGAGCAGCCTGAGAAGGTTGCATTGACCTCAGAGGCTGGTAAGTGTTCCGACCGAGTGAATCAGAGTTAATACTTACACAGGTATTCGCGGTAATCGATTGTATCGTAAATTAGATTGCACTTTCAATTGGTTAAATAATTCATGATTAGATGGCACGATATCGAGACTTCCTTTAGGAATATGTGTATTCTTGAACATAAGTGAAATCTGGTCCACTTGAGATCTACCACATTCTTTTGCCATAAACAAATTTATCCCTTTACAATCTATACTACGCACTAATGTTTGAATTATATAAGCTAAACTGGTTAGAAAATCACGCAGTATATTAATATGTTCAGAAAACTCCTATTTCTTCTCATGATGCATTGTCTCGACCTTATTGATAAGATAATTTTGATTATCTCCAAACGTCTGAGCATAACAATGCATATTACTCCTGATTTGCATTCTGACTTCCATAGATTTTTTTTCATAAGCTTTTGACATAGCCATAGCACGATCTATTGCAATTTTTATAACTTTTGTGCCAGTTTTGGCATCCACTATTGTCTTTATCACATCTGTGCGCCATGTATCAACAGTACCTTTTATAACCATGTAATTATGCTCTTTATGAAAACTCAAAATACATTTTTGGCAGATCATATTGGTACATCGTTTACAGAAAAAATTTACTGACTCGGTGTGTAATTCACAAAAACTAGCTTCGATGTCATTGGTGATATAATTTCGTGCGACACCGTTTATAATTTCGTTTATAATTTATAATTTCGTTTGAAATATTGGGAGGAGCTTGTGTTCTCTAAACTGTCATTCAGATACGATTTTGTGACAACAATCGTAGCATAAAAGTGAACTGCACTTGTAGCAAAGCGTTGTTGCTAAAATGTTGTTGCAGCGAAAACAGACAATAGGCACTGTGGTGCGACTCATCTGTTATATTTGAGTTGTTGCTTGATGTGGTTCTGGTCGAAGCTGCCGAGGTAGACAGCACGCTTGATCCTAGGAATTGTGTGATATTTCTGAACGCTGCCATCTTGTTGTATACAAGTTACGTGATTAGATCTGTAAAAAAAAACCATACTAATATGAATGTAAGTCCAACGTTTTAACGACAGAGATAACTTAATACAGGACACGTCGTAATCGTTTGACATGTTAAATATGTAGTAAGTGTATATGTACAAATTGATTTATTAAATATAAAATAATAAATATTAGATAAACATTGTGCCTCCTGTGAATACTGATACATGTTGAATTTCAATATATATTAGTCTGCAAAGGTTTGGATTAGAGCCATGTTTTGTTTAAAAAGTTGATTTTTTTAGAACATATTATTAACAATGATTTAGATTTTTGGGGACTACGAACCCTTTCACTAGTGGAAACTTTTACTATATCTAAGTATAATGAACGACTTATATGTCCAAAATCGTTTTGATTTCAAAGTCATTTTGATATTATTAAATAAGATAATGTTCACGAAAATGCAATTTTTATTATTTAAGTTTATCGTTACATATGATTTATCAAATAAATAATCATCAGAATAAGAAAAGAATTTTAAATTTTTATGTTTTCTTCATTGATATAGATATGCGAATTTTTTTTTTCGCTCAAGGCTGTGTATTATCGAAAGTCAAACATATTGTAAGATTCAAACACTTATCACCGTTACCGTAATTGTTAGACCAGCTGAGACTGATTTGATAATTTTGAATAGATATATTACATATTTTTTATATATTATCTTTATGTAGATCTATTATTTCTTTCATTCTGGCATTATTACCTCATTTTATGTTAATAGAGATCCTCCACTATGCTTTAGTTCCACTTGATTTCGTTAGATATTAGATAATCATTTCGATATTGCTCAAAAACTGTTAGATATTATAAATTTTACGAAGTAGGTCACGGAGTATAATGAGATATACAAAAAGGTTTCATAAAAAAATATATATTGGTTGCACTTGAACTGACTAAGCCACTCATTGACCTTTGAGATTAATACGGAGTTTGCGAAAAAGTCCATTCTTAAATATTTTATGGTCTCTTTCCCTCTCGTGGTGGTGAGTGAGATAGATATACTCAATATAACCTTTTATGTAGGGTTTTGTTATGATTGAGCTTAACACGTGTTGTTTTTGAGCAAATTTAAGGGCATGCAATAGTAATTGTAATATATATTTTAATAAAAATAAAAAATACTACATTTACTCTATCGGGTACAACAGAAAATGTTATTTTTTGGTTGTATATAACACTTGGTAAACTAAATATTTCAAAACTTGCAACAAAATCCTTGAATATAATTTTATATTTAAGTGAAAGCGATGGAAATATACAATACTGTATTATTATCAAAGATTAGATGTCTCAGGTTTTTGTAAGAGCCCCTTTACGTACACTTAGTTATGATCGTATTAGTTCTAAAGTAATGAAAAGAAAAAAACAAAATGTATATTTTTCGTTAGGAATTTCTCAAGATAACGTGGTTTTGTTCATTTTTTACAAAATTCTCACTAGTCTTACTTCAATTTGATTTGCATTTATGAATAAGTCAAAAATAAAAAGGAATAAATAATAATGCTCAAACACATTCTAAACGCGGGATTTTCTAACTTTATTGTCTATTTAAACATTAATGAACAAAAGGGTATTAATACAACTACAGACCGTCTGTGAATGAAAAACAAAAGGTAAGACAGTACTAAAGTTTTTAAGCTAAAATTCTAAAGCTTATTATCTTTTGTTTCAATCAAAATATTATCACTATGAGTAAAATTCGTTGTGTTTTTTAACAATAGCGTAATTTACATCTTTTTATTATTTTGAAAATAAGGCCGTCAATTGTAAGTCTCATGTTTTTGTCATATAAGTGTATATTGTCTTTGTGTGTGCAATAAAGAATATTCTATCTATCTATCTAAAAGTACGGGTAATTGAGATGTAAAGTAAAACCTAGGAATTCCAATACCAAGTATTTACCGGTCTTATGTCCAGATTTATTTAGCTAGAAATTAAAGACATTATTTAAATTCTCAATCTTATAATTTCATTTGATATATATCACATGAAATAGTCTATATACTAATATTAAAAATAGGAAAGATTTATTTGTTTGTTTGTTTTCATCGCATAGGCTCCGCGACTGCTAGCTCGTTTTTAAAATTTCTCGCAACCAGCGTATACCTACTACTTTTACAAAATATAATTTGTATACGCGGGTTATGCGGGTGAAGTCATTTTTAAACATTTGCGATCCTTTACATATTCTATGTTCTTGAGAATGATATTTCGATGATTTCAAGATAAAAATGCTTTGCTATGCTTTTTAATTTCAAAAGAATCACTTGACAATCAATTTCAAGACTAAATCGTTGTTATGACAGTTCTATTTACATTTCAATAGTAAAACAGATAAGCTTTAGAATCCACACCTTTTTTAAAGATAGATAAAGAATATGTTCAATTTATATAATTCTTAATTCAAAAGCAAAAATAGTCCTAGGGATAGGACTATTTTTGCTTTTGAATTAAGAATTAAGTTGGTCACGTCATCGGTTAGAAAGATTTTTGAAACAGTAATCACATGGTCTGGAAAAATAGTTGATGAATTATTTACGCCAAATCCTTCCTAGTTTATTCTACTCTCTATGTATAATATATTTTATCAGATTGCTCGAACACCATGTAGTTTTATTCATAATTGTCAGGCAACGTGATAAATAAAGAATTTCAAACCATAATTAAATATTTTTCCATAAGTAGCTTGTTATTAGTCATAATTACCTTATCTACATATAACTTGGTCCGTAACAGATGGCTCCGATTGTCTTGTCGGGAGCGGAAACTAAGAGATGCGACGGTTTCGCGGGAGATTAAAATTATATTGCATCTCTAACAGTATACTATATCGAATTTTGTAGAATATTTAATTAGAGTTAAAAAAATATTAAATCAAAATATCTGACTGAAAAGTTATTTTATTTCCAACACTTCATTTTGCACAGAGTAGGTAACACGTTTTTAATTTCCACTTGCCAGGAAAATTTACATTTATTTTATCTTCTAGGTGGCAGCTGCCCCCCCTGCCCCTACCAGGGTACGCCCATGCAAGTATTTAAGGTGGTGCTTTTTGACCTTAAACAAGAGACAAGCAAGATGTAATTGCCTACAAGATTCTATCCAGAGCATGTCGCATTTTACTAACAAATTTACAAACATGCGAGGTAAGTATGCGAACGCAAAATCTATAGTAGACATTTTGTACCCGCTGAATCAATTGACTTGTCGTGGGAAGAAGACGACGGCCATACGACTGTGGAATGGCCTCCCTGACATCATGCTACGATCTCCTAAAAAAATCACCTTTAAACGGAAAGCTCACACTTTTCCCTTGCAACGTTTATCAAGTTTTTTTATGCAGAAAAACGTTTTTATGCCGAAACTCCACCGAAACAGAAACCGAACATTCGGTCGGTCACAAAAAAACTTATAACATTAACAAATATCACAGCAAGTTCCAAATAAGTAATAAGCACATGTATGCACATATTTAAATCTCTCTGGATACGGCCTATTGGTAAATTTTCATTTGCGCAGAGCAGACCAATTCCAACGAAGATCGAATATACCACTAAAATTTATAATGACTCTTATTTTAAAACCATAAGTTATAAAATTTAGGTCTCACACTGGGCGGGGTTAGGCAGGCGCGCGGATCACCCGATGGCCGTTACTTGAATCATTCTGATTGGTCGACATTTGTCGCGCCTCGAAATTTCACCTTAGATAAGTTGTATATTAATATAATCAAGTTGGAATTGTATGAAATTTGTCCAAAGCCGATTCCTTTGAATTGATACAATATAACATTGAGAAAACGCGTATAGGTACTTAAATTAAGCTATGATTTCACAATGCTCTCATATCAACAGCGCTTACATATAATATTGTTACTGGAATTAGAAACTTTATATTACTTTTTACCAAACCACATACCCATCGTTT